AGTTTTTCCCTGGCCTTGTTTTGGCTGATGATATGGAGCTTTTCCACCATCTCTTTTTGCAGATATAGACTGTGAAAAGACTATTTGATTTCTGTATATTCTACCTGGTAAAATCCATGTGTATCGGCACCTTTTATGTTGTTTAAAAAAGGTATTTGCAATGAGGAAGTCATTGGTCTTGCACAATTCTCTCATGTGGTCTCCAGCATCATTTCTATCACCAACACCATATTTTCCAACCTTTTTGTTTCCAACCTTTGTATTCCAATACCCAGTAATTATCACTACATCTTGATTACAAGTTTGATCAATTTCAGACTGAAGAAGTTGATAAAAATTTTCAATTTCACCATCATTGGCTTTAGTGGTTGGTGCATAAATTTGATTAATAGTGGTATTAATTGGTCTTCCTTGTAGGCATATGGATATTAACTTATCATAGACAACGTTGTACTTCCTGAGTGATCTTGATATGTTCTTTTAGATGATGAATGCATTACCATTCTTCTGTAATTTGTCATTCCCTGCATAATAAACCATGTAGTTCTTAGATTCAAAATGGCCATTACCAGTACATTTCAGTTCACTAATGCTTAGGATATTGATGTTTATGTGTTCCATTTAATTTTTGACAATTTTCAATCTTCCTAGATTTATTCTTTGTACATTCCATGTTGCAATGATTAAAGGATGTTTACTGCTGTTTCTCTTCATTTTGAGTTGTGCCCCATCAGAAAATGAAGGTCTAAGGGCTATACTTCATATGTGTCATCACGGTCAACTCTACTTTGAGGAGGCAGCTCTTCCCCAGTCACGTTTTGAGTGCTTTCCAACCTGAGGACCTCATCGTCCAGTACTATGTCTGACATATATCTCAACATGTTTCAATATTCAATAGTGTTCCACTGCTGTTCACAAGGTTTTCAGTGACTAAATACTTAGAAGTTGTCCATCTCTCCTTCTTCCTAGTCTGTCTTCATCTGGAAGCTCAGCTGAAATCTGTCCACTGTGGGTGAACCTATTGGTATCTAAAATACCTGTGGCATAGTTTCCAGAATCACAGCAACTCACAAGCCACCGAAGTATGACAAACTGACAGACAAGTCGTGGTAGAGCCTAATTAGCTATGAAAAATGAAAGAGAAGAGTTGCAGACAAGTCAGACATGTTAACTGGGTTTATGGGATGGATGTCATGGTACTATTGACTAAGAGAGAAAATATGAGAGATTGCATTCTTGGAAGAAGATGATACATTTTAGGTGTCTGGAGGATCTAAGTGGATTTGGGTATTTGGAACTTGAGAATGTGGGTTTGGAGCTTGGGAAGGAGAACAGGTTTTGAAGATCTGTCATCATCTATAAGGAGCTAATCACTGAGGTAGGGTCCAATGCTAATGACAAAGGTTGCTTGAAGACAAGAAACAGAGTCTGGAGGAATGCTATCTTTAAGAGGCCAAGGATACGGGCACTGCAGGAGGGAAATATAGGAAATGCCACAGAAATAAGACACACAGAGAATACAGTTAATGAAAACCCAGGTTGGAGAGTTTCATCAAGGAAAGACTAATGAAGGCTAATGGTGGACGACTCTTTTCTTGAAAATTGATGTTTTAATTGACAGTTCATTTTAGAAGAGTCACTCTTTCAACAAAATTTATAAAAAATACTTAGAATTGAGGAGATTGTGATCATTGCAATGAAACAATTGTAAACCCGATGTTCTCCCATGTAAACTAGCACTCAATTCACAATAAAATCTTAAATATATATATATATAACACTGAAAGTTGCTCTAAATCCTTTTGCACATTTGTAATCAATCTCTAAAAGTTGTGCTAGTCTTTGTGGAGAATTCATTACAATCTATTCAACAGTTCCATCTAAATACTTTACTATATACTAAAATGCTACTTGGATTATCTTGGATTATCATGTTGAACATCCTTGTCTTTGTCAAAGTAGAGTTATTCCTCATACAGAGAGCCACCTCCTACCTGATTGCTCTGGGTCTGCATTTGGATGTAAAATTTAGAATCATCTTTTTCTATAGAACAGATTGTTCACTGAATATCCACCTTAATCTCTATAACCAAAGTGCTCTCAATAAAAAAAAAAAAAATGGTTTTATTGGGAATCTTTTAAAATAATGGTTCCTGGTGCTTGGAACAGTTTTCAAAATATTCACCTCCTCCTCTTTTACACTGAAGAGCAGGTTTGTCACTATAGGATTTTAACAAGTTAACAATTTCTAGAATCCTCCTTCTCAAGTGGACATGCAAATTCCTCATTTACTTCAGTGTCCACTGGGTTGGATTCCATGTCATATCCTTCAGAATCTTGTAGTGAGGGTCTTAAGTTTTCCCCTGTAATGAATGATGTTGAGAAGACTATCTTTATATATAT